AAAGAGGACCTGCCCAACACTTTGTACTCGCTGCTGCCTGAAACTCTGGAGACTCAGTTTGTTAAAGAAATGGCCGAGACGCACAGCGAGGTGAGGAATCTGAACCGCTGTGTGTCTAAAGAAGAGACAGGAATATGAGACTGGAAGAAAGTTTAAATGATGTGTTTCTGACTTAGAACAACTTAAGGACAACAACCAGGCGTGAGAACGTGCTGCATCACTTTCTAATGCCTGTATTTACAGAAAATCAAGCCGCTAATGTGGCTCTCGTCAAAGTATTAACAACAGGATATTTAATTTGGGAAACATATTAAACGCTGATGTGGTCCTTTAACCGTCTGAACCACAAAACCCACCAGCAGGTATGAAAGCTTCTAAAGAAGTTCTAAAATTTAAGTATAAAATTTAAGCCAGAAACTGTCAAAGCACAGAAATTCATCAGATTTTGAACTTTCCGACAGTCTTTGAACTAATCGTGTGAAACATGCAGGTTCATCAGGAAAATTATCTCAGCTGAAAGTCACTTTATTCGACATTTCTCGTTTTAAAAATTAGACATAAATTAAAGATATTGTTTGCACGAAGCAAATTTTGCAAGAAACAAAAAATTCTGGTCTCGTTAGTGGAACCAGGAACCTTTTAGTGACTTGGACCTGAGCAGCAGGCTGAATGGACATCTGGAAAAGTGTCAATATGAATAATATATATATATCATATATATATGATACAGAGTAGTTTTCTCCTTTTTTTCATTCTATTTCAAGAATTTCAACTTTTTAGTTCAAAATTGCCACTTTTTATCTCTGGATTTCCATTTATATCTCAAAATTCTGTTTTTTTATGTCTGAAGTTTAAGTTTTTTTTCTAAATAATGAGTTTTTATCTTTCTTTTAAATTTCTTATCCCTGGATTTCAAATTTATTTTTAAAATTTTGCCGTGTGTCTGAATTTCAAGTTTTTATCTCAATATTTAGACTTTTTAATCCCTGAATTTTGAGTTTTTGTCTTAAAATTGTGACTTTTTTGTCCCCAAAAAGTTTTTATGTCAAAATTTCAACTTCTCATCTCTGAATTTCAGGTTTTATTCTCCAACTTCTCACTTTTTATGGTTCAGAATTAACCAAAAAAAAAATATTGCACATGTTGATTCCACATTTTGTCACTTTTTGTAAAATAAATAAATTCAACTCTCATTTTCCTTCTTTTTAATGATTTTATTTGTCTGTTAATAAACACAACAAACAAAGTAGGAAACAGTGAATAAACTCACCACTTACTTCCTCTAACTCGTCCTTCTTTCTGATGCTTAAAGGCATCAGAGGAAGCTGAGATCTTATTGGCCGATAAATCCGGCTGGTGATGTCACAGGCCAGTTGCCTTGGCGACCACCAATCGGGTGCCAGGCTGATAGCGGCGGTCGGAGGAGATAAGAGTTTATTTCAGGATGCTGGCAGACAGCTGCAGGAGGTGAAAGTTTTTACTGTGATTGGTGTGTTTCAGGTGAAATACAGGCAGCGAGCGGCGGCGGCGGCGGCGGCGGCGCTCTACTCGACGCTTCCCGAGACTCTGGAGACGAAACACGCCAAAGAAGCCGCCGAGCTGCAGAGCGACGTGAGGCGACTTGGACGGTTTAAAACTGTAGCTGGACAATCTTAAACTAATATTTAAGAGTTTGTAGCTCTGGTTGGACAAAGTTAAACTAATTTTGGACGAGTTTCAAGTAATTTGGATCATTTTTATTTATCTGGACAAAGTTTCAAGTCATCTTAGACCAGTTTAAGGGATTTTGGACTGTTTTTGAGTCCTTTTGGACATTTTGAAAGTAATTTTGGACATTTTTAATTGTCCAGACAGGTTTCCAGTCATTGTGGACAGTTTCAAACTAATTCTGTTTTTTAAGTTTCAGGTAATTCTGGAGTATTTTAATTATCTGGACAAGTTTAGAGTCATTTTGGACCGTTTTGAAATGAATTTTTGACAGTTTAAAACTCTGGTTGGAAAATTTTAAACTAATTTTGAACCAGTTTGAAGTAACTGCTGGTATTTTTTGAGTTATTTGGAGTATTGGATTATTTTACTTATCTGGACAAAGTTTCAAGTCATCTTAGACCAGTTTAAAGTCATTTTTGGACTGTTTTTGAGTCCTTTTGGACATTTTGAAAGTAATTTAGGATATTTTTTATTCTCCAGACAGGTTTAAAGTAATTTTGAACTGTTTTAAACTAATTGTGGTTTTTAAGTTTAAAGTCATTCTGGACTGTTTTATTCATCCGGACAAGTTTGAACTAATTTTGGACAGTTTTAATGTCATTGTTAACTGTTTTAAACTCATTTTGGACAAGTTTCAAGTAACTTTGGACATTTCTTTGAGTAATTTTGCCTTATTTAAATGATCTGTACAGGTTTCAAGTCATTCTGGACAACTGGACAGTTTAAAACTCTGGTTTTATTATTTGATTATTCTACAGTTGTTGTTTTTTTTATTGGCTCTTACAAGTTATTCTAGATTTTTCTTGTTTTTTTAGTGTTTCACTTTCATCCTGTTCAGTTTTTCCTAACTGGTTTTACAAGTCTTTAGTTTTTTTTTCTCACATATATATTTATATTACAATCAAAGATCCGACGTTTTCTGGGTTTTTTTCTGAACTTTCTGGTTGTTTGTGGCTGAACTGATGGTTTTTCTGTAAAAACACTTTCCTGTGAGAACAACTTGACTGATTCTGCAGAAATGTTCGGCCAGTTGTTGAATGTTAGGACGTCACGCTGTAATTTCCTTTTCGAAATCTCAGCACAACTAACTGTGATTTTCCTTCTTCGGACAGAAAAAGTACAGCGATGAAGGCAGGAAGGAGATGACGTCGTCGTTGTACTCGCAGCTTCCTGAAACCGCGGAGACCCAGTTTGCCCGAGAGCTGACAGAACTCCAGAGCGAGGTGCCGTTCGCTCAACGTTTCCTTGAACACAACGCTAAAGATGCTTTTTGCACTTTGCTATATGTATTGATTCTAGATTTTGTCACTTTATGTAAAATAGTCAAAGAAAATATTTTCCCCCCTTTTCAAAAAGAAATAATTTCTATCACTCTGTTTTAAGAATTTCAAACTTTTATCTCAGATTTGTCACTCTTTATGTCTAAATCTTGAGTTTTTAATTGAAAATTGTTTTACTTCTCATCCCTGGATTTCATTTTTAACTTTTAATCTCAAAATTCCAAGTTTTTATCTCAGTCTGTCTTAGTTTAACGTGTAAATCAAACCTTTTTACTCGCTATTAGTCGATGTTTTGTAGTTCTGAAGCCCTTTTTCTGTGCAGTTTGATCTGTGAGCTCGTTGCTTGATGCTTTAGACTTGAACGCAACGTCAGATTATGAAATAAAGGACGAAGGATCGTGTCTGAGTCCGGCTGAGAGAAAACTGAGCCTCAGTGTGAAACCTTTAATTAGCGAGTTCATTTAAGAAGCGAGTGGGGAAAAAAACAAGCATCTGAGGAGCTCTGATTGCAGCTATCTCCTCCTGAACTCTTTAATTGGCCAACAAAAATAAAATCTAGTGAAACAAAATGTTTTTCGTCTCCAGACCAGATACAAGGAAAACGGGAAGAGGAGCCAGACGGTCAGCGTTTACTCTCAGCTGCCGCAGACCAACCAGACCGAGTTCGCCAAAGCTCTGTCTGAAATACAAAGTGAGGTAAAGCAGGATCGGATGCACAGCGGTCCTCTGAAATCTGTTCCCATTCAGTGGGATTTGTTGTTGCCTTTTTACTGAGATCGTGTTCGTTCTTGTTTTTTAGCACAAATACAAGGAAGCGAGCAGAAAGGAGGCGTCCGGGGCTCTGTACTCGAAGCTGCCGGAGACACTGGAAACGCAACACGCAAAGGAGGCTTCAGAGCTGCAGAGTCAGGTGGGAAACGTTACTGTTAGAAGGTAGGAAGGGATCCGAAACGTCACCATTAGACGGTGGGAAGGGGTCCAAAATGTCCCCGTCATATGGTAGGAAGGGGTCCAAAATGTCACTGTTAGACGGGTGGAAGGGGTCTGAAAGGTCCCCGTCATATGGTAGGAAGGGGTCTGAAACTTCACTGTTAGACAGTAGGAAGGAGTCCAAAATGTAACTGTTAGATGGTAGGAAGGGAAACGTCACTGTTAGACGGTAGGAAGGAGTCCAAAATGTAACTGTTAGATGGTAGGAAGGGGTCCGAAACGTTGCCGTCAGACAGTAGGAAGGGTTCCAAAATGTCCCCGTCAGATGGTAGGAAGGGAAACGTCACTGTTAGACGGTAGGAATGGTCCGAATCGGTGCAAAAACATGCAAAAAGATCTAAAAATGACATAGTTTTTCTTTCATTAAAATTGAAATAACCTGGAGTCACCATGTACGACATTTTTCCAAGTCCCCGAAGATGTTACCAGGACTAGAAAACAGTGGGGCCTGTACGCGCCCTTTTGGGGTTTCAGAGCTGGAATTTGTGTTTTAAAGTGGAGAAAAGCAGCTAAATGCTAAACGTTTTATCGTATGTTCAGGTGAAGTACAAGCAGGACAGTAAGAAGGAGGCGAGCGGCTCGTTGTATCATCAGCTGGCCGCTACCACGGAGACACAGCTGGCTAAGGAGCTGAGGAACATCTGCAGCGAGGTGAGGAACCGCCGGCGGACACATCTGGACGACTCCGAGCTCGGCTTCTACCAACGTCTGTTTGCTGCGTTGCAGGTGAAGTACAAAGAAGACGGTAAGAAGGAGATCAGCAAGAACTTGTACTCGCTGCTCCCCGAGACGGCAGAGACTCAGTTCGCCAAGCAGATGTCGGAGATCCAGAGCGAGGTGAGGACCCTGAACGCACCGCACAGCCGGAGAGTCGACGCTGAGCGGTCATCAGAACAACCAATAACTTTATTGAACATTTTACAGTGTGGTGTAAAGTCCTGGAACATGTTTAGGTTATTTAGTTTTTAATTAAGTTTAAGTCATTTTGGACACGTTTCACATCATTTTCATCAGTTTCTGACTAATTTTGTTATGAGTCAGTTTTGGACACACACATGTTTTGAGTCACTTTGGACAATTGTTGAGTCATTTTATTACCGTTTTTTAATAGTTTTGGACAGGTTTCACTTCATCCTTTTCCTGGTCAGTCAGGCAGCAGAGCAGTGAGCGCAGGAACACCACCGGTTTCCAGATGGATGCTGTCTTTGTTGGAAATTTCTAGTCTTTCTGGACACATTTTAAGTCATTTTGGTTGGATTATTGAGTTATTTTGAACCATTTTGACTCATTTTGGACCGTATTTGAGAACTATAAAGCTTTATTTTTGGTTTTGCAGCCAAACTGGGATCATTACGACCTTTTTTTCTTTTTTAAGGTTGTTTTGAACCAGTTTTCCAGTTTTTGTTGCAAATAGAGAAATGAAGCTTCTTTGTCTGTTTTAATTCACTCTATTTATTGTCTTGTTTTTGTTTTTATTTCCTTTCTAGTCAAAGTACAAGAAGGACAAAGAGGACCTGCCCAACACTTTGTACTCGCTGCTGCCTGAAACTCTGGAGACTCAGTTTGTCAAAGAAATGGCCGAGACGCACAGCGCGGTGAGGAACTCTTATCGATGTTGTCCAGCTCATGTTGGACATACGCACAAATGTTAAACCAGAGAGCATCAGGTCCTTGTGTTGTTATGTCGAGTCTAGCATATAAAAACTCAGATATTTTTGACAACTATATGTCGTCTTGGACAGATTTTGTATAATTTTTGACAGTTTTTGAATGTTTTAGATGAATTTTGTGCATTTTTGACAACATGTGAGTTGTTTTGGAAACGTTTCACATCCCTATGGACAACGTCTGAACGGTTTTTAGACAAGTTTCATTCATTCTGGACAACTTTATGTCATTTTAGACAGATTTCACATAATTACGGACAGTTTCTGAGGCATTTTTTATAGATTTTTGACTAATTGTTATTCATTTTGGACAGATTTTGAGACACTTCATGGTTTTTGTTGGACAGATTTTATATAATTTCGAACAGTTTTTTGGATTATTTTAGATGAGTTTATACATTTTCCACAAATTGTTAGTTGTTTTAGAAAGATTTCAGAACATTTTGAATCATTTCTGACTCATTTTAAACATTTTAAAATGGTTTTAGATGAGTTTATTTATTTCAGACAAATTGTTTTTAAATTGTTTCAGGCAGATTTAATACATTTTGGACAAATTTTCGACTTGTTTAATGGTTTTAGATGAGTTTTATACAGTTTTCACAAATTGTTAGTTGTCCTGGAAAGATTTCACATCATTTTGGACGACTTTATGTCATTTTAGACAAATGTTACATAATTCTGGACAGTTTTAAGGTATTTTGGACTGTTTTTTCTCTTTTTTTTGTCATTTTAGATTAATTTTGAGTCATTTTGGACAGATTTTTTTTTGTTGTTGTTGGTCGTTTTAGACTAATGTTGAGTCACTTTGGACCATAATTCTAGACATTACTTTGTACAAATTGTGAGTCCCATTGGACAGATTTCTGCTACTTTAGATGGTTTCAAGTCATTCTGAATAATTCTGATCAGCCGCTGAATCGTTTTGGACGAGCTTTTGTCATTTTGGCGATTATTACAGATTTAGAATTCTGTTTCAGTCTTTGGGGGCTTTTTGGAGCCGTTCTTGACCAGTTGTAGTCGTCTTAGGCATGTTTCCAGTGATGTCAGACATCTCCTGAGTCACTCCACTCGTCTTTTCCTGCAGGTCAAGTACAAGGAGGCGGGAAAGAAAGAGGCCGGCAGCTCTTTGTACCACCGTCTGCCCGAGACTCTGGAGACGCAGCGCGTTAAAGAGGTTTCTGAGCTGCAGAGCGAGGTACCACCATCTATTATTCACATCCACGCATTCACATTTCATGATGTTTAATATTTGAAACATTTAAGAGCGATCCTTTCCCTACATTCAGAGCCTAATATTTAGCTTCAGCTTGGTTAAAAAAAACCAGCTCGATAAACATCTGAATCCTGTCAGTTTGACCTGCAGCAGTTCAGATGTGCTCAAACTGCACATTTAAATCAGTTCAGCCTCTTGTCCTTCTGAAAACCCGCCGTCCTGCATCAGTCCGGCTCAAAGACAGGATTCATAAGTTAGCCGTGCTCTGCCCTCTGAAGACGCTCGCCTTCAGATGTCTACGATGCTGTTTTTTCTCATTATCTCACAGAGCAACTCAAGTGTTTATGTGAAGACGCTCAGATATTCAGGAGGAGAAACAGCAGAAATAAACCGAGAACTGAAGAAGCTGAATGACTTCAGACTAGTTTTTATTCATTTTGGCAAACGTTGACTCATTTTGGACCACGTTTTGTCATGTTAGACCATTTGTAAGTAAGTTTTATTCATTTTGGAAGCATTTTTTGTCATTTTGGACCATGTGTTGTCAATTTTAGACCTTTCTAAATATTCTAGACTCGTTTTATTCATTTTGGACAAAATTTAAGTCATTTCGGAAACATTTTGGACTCATTTTGAAGAGTTTTTGTACAACTTCCGACAAATTTTTATTCATTTTTGACAAACGTTGACTCGTTTTGGACCATTTCTAAGTTATATTCATTTTTGGAAACATTTTCTCTCACTTTGGACCATTTTTTGTCATTTGTAGACAATTTCTGAATAAGTCCAAACAAGTTTTATTCATTTTTGACAAAATTTAGTTCATTTCTGAAACATTTTTGTCATTTTGGCACTGCGGAGCATCAAATCATTCTGAGTCATTGTTTTGAGTCATTTTGGGTTCAGAGAAATTTTTTTCTGTTTTTACAATATTTTGGACTCCTGTTGGAACATGTATGTCAGGTTTTATTCATATTGGACCCATTAGCTCCACAACGAGGATTCCAGTGTCGTGACTTTATTGCTTCAGTCAGTTCATCGTTTCCAGTCTGAGCTGCTTTTGTTCCACCTGCTGCCTTTGTCTCTGCAGAACAAGTACAAGCAGAGCGGCAGGAAGTCGATGTCGACCAGTCTGTACGCTCAGCTGCCGCAGACGGCCGAGACGCAGCTCGCCGCCAAGATGTCCGACCTGCAGAGCGAGGTGACGCCGCTGAACGTGCCGGTAAACGAGCCGCGCCGCCGGAGAGCGTGACGTCTGACCGAGCGTCTTCTGTCTCCGCAGAGCAAATACAAGGAGGACGGCGTCAGGAGCCGCCAGCAGAGTTTCTACTCGCAGCTCGCCGAAACCGCCGAGACGCAGTTGGCCAGAGGCGTCTCCGAGCTGCAGAGCGAGGTGACGCTGTCCCCTCACACGTCCCATGACTCCTTATTGACTCCATTCTTCACCTTAGCCTGTGTTTTTATTAATTGTTCTTTTGCTTTCAATTTGACCTTTTACACAGTTTTTCCTTGTTTTTACACATTTTCACGTTTAATGTAAGACGCTCTGAACTGACTTAGTGTATAAAATAGGAAAACTTCCTGCTATGAAGCATGTTTCAGATCATTTTGAACAGATTCTAGGTCACCTTGGGCAGTTTTAACTCATTTTGGTCCAGTGTCAAGACATTCTACAACATTTACAGTCATTTTGGTCAGGTTTTAAATCATCTTCAACAGTTTTTTAAGTTATTTTGGACATTGTTAAGTAGTTTTGACATTTTTTTTTAATCATTTGGGACAGTCTCTCATTGATTTCAGACAAGTTTTAGTAATTTTGGACACATTCAGAGTCATTTTGGACAGGCTTTACACCATCTTTGACCATTTTTTAAATAATTTTGGACATTGTTTTGAGTCATTTTGAACCATTTTTAAATAATTTTGGACAGTTATTGAGTAATTTTGACATTTTTAAAATCATTTTGGAAAGTCTCAATGATTTAAGACCGGTTTTATTCATTTTGGACACACTGAGAGTCACTTTGGACAGCTCTTAGAGCATCTTTGACAGTTTTTGAGTCATTCTGGACAACCTTTGAGTGGTTTTGTACAATTTGTCAGAGATTTCAGATGAGTTTTTATTAATTTTGCACAGATTTTAGGTAATTTTGAACAAATTGTGATTCATTTTGGACCAGTATCAAGTCATTTTCAATCATCTTGGACAGTTTTTTAAGTCATTTTGGACATTTCTGAGTCATTTTGAACAATTATTGAGTAATTTTGACAGTTTTTTCATCATTTTGGACAGTATCTCAACAATTTTTATTAATTTTGGATGCTTTGACAGTCATTTTGAACAGGTTTTACTGCATCTTTGACAGTTTTTGAGTCATTGTGGACAACTTTGTAAGTTTTTATGAATTTTTGCACACATTTTAGGTCATTTTAGACACATTGTGAGTCATTTTGGACTTTTAACCTCGTTTAAGACCAATGTCGAGCCATTTTGAACATTTTTTGAGCCATTTTGGACATTTTCTGAATTATTTCAGGCAAGCTTTTACTAATTTTGGACAACGCACAGTTTTAGGTCCGATTGAGGAGTCGTGCTTTAACGTGATTAAACGTTTCTGGTTTTTTTTTTAGGCCAAGTACAAGGAGGCGAGCAGGAAGGAGGCGAGCAGCAGCTTGTACCATCAGCTGCCGGAAACTCTGGAGACTCAACACGCTAAAGAGGCTTCGGAGCTCCAAAGTCAGGTACAGCCAGACACGGGTTTACATCCGGTGTTTGGACGGACGCAGTGTGAAGGGTTTGAAACAGTTTACGAACAAGTTTGAGTTGTTTTTGTTGTAAATACGAGCTTGAAAGAACCACAAAGAGTCCAGGAGGATTGTCATTGAATGCCAGTCCTTTAAATGTCAGAAAATTTGGACAAACCAGTATTTGTGTGTTTGTTTCTCCCGATTTCCAGACACCCTGGGGTAAATTTAAATAATTAACTTGCATGGACTGCCAGCTGGTAACCAGAACAGTTACTGGAGAGTTCTGGGTTGTTCCGACCTCATTGACACGGGCCATAGAGTCACGCTGACTTTGCGATCTTTTCTAGAGATTTGAGGAAATGTTCTGTTGATATTGTGAAGGTGAAACAGCGTCTCCGGGAGGTTTATCGTTTCCAGGGATGCTGTGTTTCAGGACGTTCTGCCGTCTTTGCTGGAAGTTTCAGGTCATTTTCAACAAGTTTCAAGATATTTTGGACACAATTGAAGTCATTTTGGACAAATTTTAAGCCATTTTTAGTGGTTTTTGAATGGTTGTAGACATGTTGCATTCATTTGGATAACTTTTGAGTCATTGTGGACCGTTATCAAATGGTTTCAGACAAGTTTTATTCATTTTTACCAAATTGTGAGTCATCTTGGACAATTTTTGAGTACTTGTCCTCCTTGGTGGGCAGCAGAGCAGTGAGCGCAGGAACACCACCGGTTTCAGAGGGACGCTGTCTTTGTTGGAAATTTCAGTCATTTCAGACTACTTTTGAACCATTTTGGACAGGTTTTAAGTCGCTGTAGATGGTGTTTTTACTCATTTTGCACGAAAATCTACTCATTTTACACCATCTTTTGAGTCAGTTTGGACAGTTTTTGGAAGAGTTCAGTCAAGTTTTATTCATTTTGGACAAATTATGAGTCATTTTGGACGGACGTCCAACGTCATTTTAAACACCACAAGTTTCCAGAGAGTCTCTCAGGACGTCCTGTTGTCATCTTTAGTTGGTTCAGTTGCCTGTCTGTGGACTTTGTTTCCAATAAATACATGTACTCAGCCATTTTGGTCCATTTTTGAGCCATTGCAGTCAAATTCTGTGTCATTTTAGACAGTTTTGGAATTGTTTTGGACACATTTTAACAGGTTTTGATGATGTTGGAGACTCTAGACGATGACTGGAAAACAAAAGTCTAAAATGATTCACGTAGACGTCGTCTTTCTTTCTTCGGACACCTGCAGGGAGCTTCTGCTAAAGTTTCCCAGAATTTCTACGAAGGAGGTGAAGAATTCAGAGTTAGCCTGACGCTTTGAGTCACAAAAACAGCATGAACGGGAAAACAAAGTAGGTTGAAATAGAGTTATTGCTCTAAGTTTTGCAGCCAGCATTTGTCTGTTTGGTTTCCAGGTGAAGTACAAGGAAGGAAAGAAAGACCTGAGCACCAACCTTTACTCTCTGCTGCCTGAGACTGAGGAGATCAAGTTCGCTAAAGCCGTCATGGAGCTCCAGAGTGAGGTGGGTGGAAGGTTTGAAGCAGGTTCAACAGAGCCAGACTTGTGCTAGCTGGCTCAACAAAACCTACAAAACCCTAATCAGAGATAATAAGGACATTAGCTTTCCTCATTAACCAGGTATGACGCATCTTTTTACTCATTTTTCACATTAGAAGGACCAGCGGTGTTCTATTTTCCCACTCCTAATGCAGCCTCTTATGTCTAACGTAATGTAAATGTCTAATGTAAATTTTTACTGTCAAACCTGGATTTGAGATGTATTTTGTCTTTTAAAAATTTGCCAAAATGACACCATTTATCAAAGCCAGAAATTGCAAAAGCAGAAAGAATCGTCAGAGTTCCAGTTTTGCTGTGGTGCTTCATGTGTTAGGTGCCTGAACGAGACGAAACTGAACCAAAGAGGCACAAAATGAAACAAACATGACAGAAAACAACAGAAATGAGACAAAATTGCCCCCAGAGAGACACAAATCAACACAAGCCTGATGGAAAACAGCAAAAACAAGACACAAAAATACACAAACTTGATGTAAAACAAGAAGAACGTAACAGAAAACAACCAAAATGAGAGACAGAACTGATCCAAGGAGACACAAATCGACATAAACCTTAACAACAAACCCCAACAACAAAAATGAGACAAAATTGAACCGAAGATACACAAAAGGACACAGTTTTGGTGGAAAACAACAAAAACAGGACACAAAATTACACAAACTTGACGTAGATCAAGAAAAATGAGACAGAAAGCAACAAAAACGAGGAGAAACTGAACCAAAGAGACACAAAATGGTACAAACTTGACAGAAAACAACAGAAATGAGACAAAGTTGAACCAAAGACACACAAAATGACACAGTTTTGGTGGAAAACACCAAAAACAGGACACAAAATTACACAAACTTGACGTAAAACAAGAAAACCGTAACAGAAAACAACCAGAACAAGACAGAAAATGACCTGAAAAAGAAAAGGAAATGGTTTCACGTCATCCCGCCTCCTGCTTTGTGCGTTGCAGAACAAATACAAGCAGAAAGGCCGACAGGAGAGCAGCAGCAGCGTTTTCCACCAGATGCCGGAGACCAGAGAGATGGAGTTTGCTAAGCAGATCTCAGAGCTTCAGAGTGAGGTGAGGTCCAGACTCTTCACATTTACTGAGGCTTTTCGTTCATTCACAACCTGGATGTTCTAAAGATGTCGCTGTGTGTTCATTTTCCTGTTTGTGTCGGAGAGAACAAACTGCTGCTTTCTGTTCCTGATGATGTCGGGTTTTTTGCTGCTTTTCTAGTCAAAGTACAAGAAGGACAAAGAGGACCTGCCCAACACTTTGTACTCGCTGCTGCCTGAAACTCTGGAGACTCAGTTTGTCAAAGAAATGGCCGAGACGCACAGCGAGGTGAGGAACCTGAGCGAGCGTTTCAGGACGTTGTCTTCTACAGTGATTAATATCTGATCGCTGAGTTTGCAGGATCGCTGTGGGATGCAGAAGTTTTCTGTGTTTGCTGTTTTATTCATAATGTTTTGATAAAATCTAACTTCATCTGTTTAAATTATGAAGCGTTTGCAGACGGTTTTAAATTCCTAAAAAATAAAGTCTTGAATTTGAAATTAAGCATGAATGAAGGCATTATGAATGTTTACATGGATGTTTTGTGTATAAACATCCAAGTGTAAAACTCAATTACAGCAACACTGGTCAAGGTTTAGGTTAATGTCTTTATTTTCCCACTCGCAGTGCAGCCTCCTGGGACACAAAATCACACAACCGAGACACAAAACAACAAAATGGAGACAAAACTTTTCCAAAGAGACGAACAATGACAAAAATGAGACAGAAAACCAAGGATAGAATTGAACCAAAGAGCCACAAAATATCATAAACTTGACGGAAAACAACAAAAAGGAGACACAAAACAACAAAAGCATGACAAAATGGAACGAAAGAAACACGAAACGACTCAAAATTGATGGAAAACAATTTTAAAAATGAGAAAAAATTATCCCAAAGACTTGACGGAAAACGACACAAACTTTACACAAGACAACAAAAATGAAACAAGACTGAACCAAAGGGACATGAAATGACTCAAACTTGAAAGAAAACAACAAAAACGAAACACAAAATGACAAAAAACAAGACGCAAAACAAAAAAAAAGAAGACCAAGCTGGATCAAAGAGGTGTTGTTGTGTTGCTAATTTCATTGCAGTCACTGATCTCAGGTTGTTGTTGTTGTTTTCTTCCTGCAGAGTAAATACAAGGAGGCCGGTAGGAAGGAGCTGCTCAAGAGTCTGTACTCTCAGCTACCAGAGACCAAAGACACTCAACATGCCAAAGAGCAAACTCAGCTGTGCAGCGAGGTAACGTCCAGCTACTGCAGCGCTTTAGGGAGACCAGTCTAGAACCTTCATTCCAGCCTGATGGAAC